GTAGTTCCAGCTACTTGGGAGGTTGATGCAGAAGGATCACCTGAGTCCAGGAGGTCTAGGTTGTGGTAAGCCATGATCTTGCCACTGCACTTCAGTCTAGGCAACAGAGTGAGACCCAACACAAAAAACAAAAAACAACCAAAAAAAAAAAAAACAAAAAACAACCAAAAAAAAAAAAAAACAAAACAAAACTTGTAACACAGATTGCTGGACTTACTCCCAAGTTTCTGTGATTCAGTGAGTCTAAGGGGAGGAGCCCAGAATTTGTACTTCTACAAATTTCCAGATAATGCTGAGGCTACTTAACTATGGACCACATGTCCAGAACCCCAGCTCTAGGTTATTTATGTAATAGTAGCACTATCTCTTGGCTTACCTAGTAGGAGATACGTAGGAATCTGAAGTCATAAATGGTAGTTGAAAGTTTGCTTAATTCTTCATGCACAAAGGGAAATCGGTATATGTTTTGTGATATTGCTGTTTAAGGACTTTCCAAAAGTCCAGTAAAATGTTTAAAGCTATTAACTCAGTGGGAACAGCTATGTTTACTTTTTTTCTCAAATAGCCAATGTTACTCAAGATTGAGCAAACTCCTTTCTCATCGGCCTCAGGTTCTCTAAATGTAATCAATGCTTGGTGTTATGTATTCACAGTATACTTAAAGAGGTACTTCTTTGCCCAGAGCTTCTAGCCATAGTTTTTAGCACGGAACGACTCAGATCTTTGAAGTAGATCTCTGAAATATTGAAATGAGCTTTTGCTTTTCACTCTGGCCAATACATTTTCAGATTCGACAATTGGATGGCTTGCTTCTCTTTATCTCAATTTCCCTCTTTTCCCCAATACAACACAGAGATTGACTCAGTAAATGCCATGTTTTAACCAGCGGAAAGTCCAAACACACTTGATTTTTATTTTATTTTATTTTATTTTATTTTATTTTATTTTTGAGTTGGAGTCTCACTCTGTCACCCAGACTGGAGTGCAGTGTCTGCTCCTGGCTACCGCAGCCTCAACCTACTGGGCTCCAGCGATCCTTCCGCCTCAGCCTTTCCAGTAGCTGGAACTACAGGAGCGCGCTACCACCCCCGGCTAATTTTTGATTTATTGTAAGAGATGAGGTCTCGCCCAGTTGCCCAGGCGGGTCTCGAACCCGTGGGCTCAGGCAATCCACTCACCTCAGCCTCCCAAAGTGCGGGATTGCAGGCTGAGCCACTGAGCCCGGCTCCAAACACACTCGAAACTCTACGATTGAGGTTCGTCTGGAGGAAACTAGAGATTAGATGGAGGCAAAGAACGTTTCAATTATGTGTTAACAACAAAACCACTGCAGTTGTCATAAACCTTAATCGGGCAAATGGTTTACTTAAAACTTGTCAATTCAGAAGTGGCATCTGGGAATATAATATCTATTTTTTGTGGTCCTTGGTCACCTTTTTCAGTGGTGTCATTTCCGCTGCCTATAAACCGTAAGCTGCTGTACATGCAGAGTTCAACTGAATCTATGCTTGAGCTGAGACATAATTCTGGCATTTGTTAATCTACACCAGAAATGCTGATCTGTAATAATGGGAAGCTTTGATGACGGAAAAGTATTATAATTGCCTTTAAAAAAAAAACAACCAAAACGAATCCTGTCAATTAGAGGAGAGTAGAATAGGTCCTTGATTTCAGCAGAGGTTTCAGAAGCATTTATTGAGTTTAAACTGAATTCGGAGCCATGTGCCTGGGAAAAGTATTTGAACATATATTCGCACAGTTGTCAAAAGAGCCAGAAGAGCAAGGACATCATAGCATTTTCAAGTCTTTTACACTTTTTTCCCTTTACAGTTCTTGTCTAATAGACCCGGCTCATGGCAATGTAGATAGCTGAAAATGATTGACAGAAATCCTTGCGAAGGTCAAGAATTATAATCGCACGTGCCTATTTTCTTTTCTCAGTTGTGCCATTATCTAATTTATTTTTCTCACTCAAAACACAATGCTATTGATATTCATAGCAATAACAACTGCTTAACTTACTATTTATCATCTCTAATTTTCATAATAACAGTTTTAGTAGCACAGGTCTTAATATCTCCATTTTTGCAGATAAGAAACTACGATTTAGAGACAAGATCTTTTGCCTAGTGTCTGGTGGTACTAGGATTCAAAATTAGGTTTATCTGGATCCAAAAACTATGGTCCCTTCCTTCTACCACTCTGTGATATTGCTTTGCTTTATTCTTTATTACACAGGAAAAGTAGAAGCAGAAAGGCTCTCTCTTGCATTTCTAATACGATAGTCTGTGGCAGGGGGTTGGTGTAACAGAGAGACTAACTAATTTCCAGAAACTAAAGTGAATGAAGAATGGGCTAACACCAGGTTCCAAAGTGACCCTGGGGTGATATTTTGAATTTGCCAGTTCAAGCTGAATGCTAGAGATTGAGCCCACATAAACCCAGCTGACAGAAAGCTCCCCACAGCATAGATGGCTAATTTTGCACAAGTGAACTTACTTAGAGCTTAGGATAGGAACATCTGACTCCACAAAGGGGCTGACCAGTTGAAAAAGTCCACTGTCCTTACAAATCTCAGAGATTTGACTAGGGAAGTAGAAAGCGGATTTAGCTTGGCATGTGAAGCTGCCGATTGAAAACATTTCAAGTATGCAACCTAGACTTGTTTTTTCCCCCCAAAAAAGGACTAATATGGAAATCTCGGCTCACAGAGACCCCTCCGGAAGTTCTTCACATTACTATGAGTATCATTCTTTCTCATAAGCTAAATGTACATGCAGCTAAGGAATAAAGCATTCTAGCTATGTATTTGTTAAAGATTAGGCCTGCACTGGAATTTTATAGCATCAATGAGAGGAAAAAAAACCCAAAACAAAACATTGAATCAACATACAGGTACTAGTCTGTGAGTGCTAAGTCTCAAGATTAACTGACCAGTCCAAAAGTAGAACCAACTTGCTCTACAAATTCTGGGTGCCCCTCTACTTAATTAACACAGTAAAGAGTTAGTTAAAAATATTAAATGCCTTCATTAAAATGCCAGGCAGAAAAAGGAAATCAGAGAATTTTATGAAAGCTTTGCAAAATATACCAATAAAAATAATTATTAGGCCCACAAACTCAGAATTAACCTTTCTTAGATCTTTCTACTTTGTAGAACTGATCACAGCAAGAAATTTTGGCAATCAGCGTACCTATTCATGTAAATATACTTGATATCCTTTTCACAGAACTCAGATTTGAAAAATGAACAGAAATTATAACAACAATAAAAACTCAGAAGGGAATGAGAAAAAAAAAAGAGTAGTTGAATTCCTTTAATCCCTATGTGCAATGAACTGAATGTTTGTGTCTTTCCAAATTCACATGTTGAAGCCCTAACCTCCAATGTGATATTAGGAGTAGGAGGTGGGGCCTTTCGGAGGTGATTAGGTCATGAGGGCTCCACCCTCACCATTTATAATGGCATTAGTGCCCTTATAAAAGAGACCCCAGAGAGCTCTTTATTTCTTTCTCTGCCATGTGGGGATTCCAGAAGAAGCTGGCAACCTGCAACCCGGAAAAGGGCCTGTGTTGGAACTGAACATGCTAGCACCCTGATCTCCATCCTCCAGAACTGTAAGAAGTACAATTTTGTTGTTTATAGGCCACCCAGTATGTAGTACTTTGTTATAGAAGCCTGAACTGACTAACATACTATGGCTAAAGTAAGTGTGTTTTTTTTTAGGTGAATATCAGATGTGCCAATATTCTCTTAACTCCTGTGGTCATGACCTGTCGGCCAGGGCAGGAATGTGGACACAGGCCCGTCCTTCCTGCTTCTTCAGCTGTCTTGGTTTCTCTCTTTCCTGTTGTCCCATGGCAGGAATATAAGCAGGGTTGAGGCCGAATCTTAAATAACTTCCCACAGGTCCCCTTATTTTACTCATTACTGCTAAGGAACATTTTACACATCTTGATATTCCCTGTCATGCTGTGTTTTGGGGCAGGGGAAAGAAGATGTAGGGTTCAGCAAGGGAAGGGGGAAGTAGGAAGATGAGATGGTCACTCCCTTTTGGTTCAGTGGACTGTTTTCAATTCCTAGTGTTACAACGTGGATACCAAAGACCTGGCTGTTCAAGAGGGTTCTGGAGATTCTGGCTCACACAGATTCTTTGGAGCTCAGGTAGAAAGTAAAGTGCAGATGTGGGAAGGAATGCTCTTTGTACTCTGCAGACAGCAGTTTTGGTGGCTTCCCTGATGCACACATTGGGGTTCTCAGGGCCAGCAATGCCAGTGAGGCTTCTCAGGCCTGAGGATGTGCTTCCCAGGATATTATACTGCAGCTTTAAGCAACTGAACTTCTTGAAATTTCTGCAAAGTCCCCCAGGCTCTTGTTTCTCCATGGCGAGGGGTAGAGCAGAGGGAGCTTCTGACACAGAACATCTGATGGATCAGTCAGCCACAGACTGATCCAGAGCTCTGCTGTGAGAAGTGACATTCTGGTCAG